TTTTTCACAGAACTAGAACAAATAATCCTAAAATATATATGAGCCACAAAAACTCCAAATAGCCAAAGCAATCTTGAGAAAGAACGAAGTTGAAGGTATCATACTTGCTGATGTCAAACTATTTTACAAGACTATAATAATCAAAACAGCACGGTAATGGCATAGATTACACAGATACATAGGTCAGTGGAACAGAATACAGAGCCCAAAAATAAACTGACACCTATATGGCCCACCAATCTATGACAAAGTAGGTAAGAACATACAATGGGGTTAAGACATTCCTTTCAATAAAGGTGTTTGGAAAACTGTACAGATACAGGCAAAAAAATGAAGCTATCCTAATATATATCTATATCTATATATCTATATCTATATCTATCTATCTATCTATCTATCTATATATATATATAAAAGCTCCAAATAGCCAAAGCAATCTTGAGAAAGAACGAAGTTGAAAGTATCGTACTTGCTGATGTCAAACTATTTTACAAGACTAAAATAATCAAAACAGCATGGTAATGGCATAGATTACACAGATACATAGGTCAGTGGAACAGAATACAGAGCCCAAAAATAAACAAACAGCTATATGGCCCACCAATCTATGACAAAGGAGGCAAGAACATACAATGGGGTTAAGACATTCCTTTCAATAAAGGTGTTTGGAAAACTGTACAAATACATGCAAAAAAAATGAAGCTATCCTAATATATATATATATAAACTTAAAACTTAAAAGAAAATACAGGCAGTAAACTCTTTGATATAACTTTTAGTAATACCTTTTTGGATATGTATTCTCAGGTAAGGGACACAAAGAAAAAAAAAACAAATGGAACTACATCAAATAAAAATGTTTTTGCACAGGAAAGGAAACCATCAACAAAACAAAAAGACAATGTACTGAATGGTATCATCAATGATATCTCCAATAAGGGGTTGATACCCAAAATGTTTAAGGAAGTCACACAACTTCATACAAAAATAAAGTTTAATGAAAAGATGTGCAGAAGACCTGAATATACATTTTTTACAAAGAGAACAAACAAATGTCCAATCCTATATAATAAAACCCTAGTATACAAATTGACTGAACAGCCGAACAACTGGTCGCTTTGACACGTACTGACCACCAGGGGAAAAATGCTCAATGCAAGAGCTGCCCACTGGTGGTCAGTGCACTCCCACAGGGGGAGCCACTCAGCCAGAAGCTGGGCTCACAGCTGGTGAGCGCAGCGGCAGTGGTGGGAGCCTCTCCCACCTCCGCAGGCAGTGCTAAGGATGTTCGACTGATGGTTTAGGCCTGTTCCCTGCAGGCCTAAGCCGTCAGTCAGACATCCCCCAAGGGCTCCTGGACTGTGAGAGGGCACAAGCCAGGCTGAGGGACACACCTCCCCCCAAGTGCACAAACATAGGAAAAGATACTCAATGTCACTAATCATCAAGGAAGGGCAAATTAACACCACAATGAGATATGTCCTTAAACCCGTCAGAATGGCTATAGTCACTAAATCAACAAACAACTGTTGGCGAGTTTGTAAATTTGTGTGGCCACTGTGGAAAACAGTATGGAGTTTCCTCAAAAAACTAAAAATGGAACTACCTTTTGACCCAGAAATCCCACTTCTGGGAACATATCCAAAGAAACCAAAAAAAATGATTCAAAAAGACATATGCACTCCTATGTTCATTGCAGCATTATTTACAATAACCAAGATACGAAAGCAACCCAAGTGTCCATTGATAGATGAACGGATAAAGATGATGTGGTATATATATATTTACTCAGCCATACAAAAGAATATAATCTTGCCATTTGTGACAACATGCATGACCTAGAAGGTAATATGGTTAGTGAAATAATTCAGACAAAGACAAACATATTTTACTTATATATGGAATCCAAAAGACAAAAATAAACATGCAAGTAAAATAGAAAAAAAGTCATAGAATACACAGAACAAATTCAAGGTTGCTAGATGGGTGGGTGATAAAGTTGAAAGGATTAGGAAGTGTAAATTGGCAGTTATAAAAAATAGTCACAGGAACATAAAATACAGCCTGGGGAATATAATCAACAGTATTGTAATAACTGTATGTGGTGTGACATGGGTACTAGAGTTATCGGGTGGTCAAGTTGTAAGTTATGTAAATATCCAAGCACTACAGTGTACACCCGAAACTGATACAATATTGTATGTCAACTGCAATAGAAACAACAAATGAAAGGCCTCCTATTTGCTGGCTTTGCAGAGGGCACCTTGCCACTCAGCTTCTCCTCTCAGCATGCTTTTGACTAGCCCAGCTCTGCAAAGCCACAGCTACCCAACAAAGTACCACCATATTCAATGTTTGCCAACATCTGAGAACTTCTAAACTATAAAAAATTTTTAGGTCTCACACATTCATAATTATTATTTTAGTATCTGACAATGGAGAGAGTCACAATATGAAAAATTCATCATAAAATGAGACCATCACAATGATTCCCAATAAACCTCACAGCCCACAAAAATCCAAGGCTTATGTATTAGGAGCCCCCCTCCCCTTTTTTCTTCTAGAGGTAGACACAGGGTTTGTAATTCTTTACATGAAAACTGCTATTAAAATATCTGCGTAATATTTAGAGTGGAATTTTCCAGGCCCAGCTCACCATTGCTGGACCATATTAGCTGTCTCCAAGGAAATGTTACTATCTCTTTATAAGATCCAGCTATCTCTTCCCCAGTCCCTAGAACTCAGCAATTCCATTTCACTTTGCCTAATTACATTTAGCAAATGCCAAATAAGAGTGGATTGCCAGAAATTCTCTGAAAGCAGTTATATTTCTTCTCCCTCCCTTCCCCTGCCCTGGAAAAAAAAATAGGTGAGAGAGAGGACCCCTACTGTCATTTCAGATGAATGTCCAGGTGTTCTTTCTGACATTAAGATAACCCCCAGGGTGGTATACAAGCTGTCACTTCCAAGTTGTCCTAAACTCTTATTTGAGTATTTTCTTAGTCCCTTTAAATGTTTCAGATTTGAGTACTCAGGGCCCAGTTTCAGTCTGGGTCCATTTTCCATACGAGAGCCTGACTCAACAACGTGACTATAGCAACTGGAATATATGTATCCATTAATATACTATTAATATAAAGTTAAATTGAATGTTTCTTGTCTAATTATGCAATAAATACCTTTTGGAGAAGTGGAAAATACATGGGAAGCAGGAAATTGGAGGCTGAGAATTCTAAAGCATGTTTCTGCCTTTCAACTTCCCTAGTTAGAAACTATTTGCTTCCCTCTCAGGGTTGTTCTGGGATTTATTGAGATAGTTTATGTAAAATGTGTAGCTGTCCATTGAGCACCCATTGCCTGGCAGCTGTAAGGGTGGGGGCACCGATAGGATTCCTGGTTTCTTTTAATAGTTTATTTAATCATTTTAATTTATCTCTTTAGCTCCTATAAGTTGCTTTATGCCTCAAACCTTAAAATGTTTTTCTCCTTAAATTAGAACTTGAGCATTTTAAACTAGGACATTCTCCTGACAACCATTTTAATTTTATCAAACTTTTTTTAACTGTGGTAAAGTTCATATCAGAAAATTCACTGTTTTAAGCATTAAATGAAAGAAGCCAGATGAAAAAGTCCACATTGAGTATATTCCATTTATGTGAAATATCCTCCATAGAGAAATTCACTGAGGCAGAAAGTTGGTAGGTGGTTGCTGGGCAGGATGGGGAGAGACTGCTTAGTAGGTGCAGAGTCTCCCTTTAAGGTGATAAAAATGTGCCCGGACCAGATAGGGGTGATGGTTACAGGGCATGGTGAATGTACTAAATGTTACAGAATTGTATACATTAACATGTTTGTTTTTAATTTAAATTCACTCAGAATATAAAAATTCATTCTTATAGATACACACAAAAAAGTTGTTTCTACCAGATGCCTAAGTATGGCATGTGTAGAGAGAGATGTGCTGAAGAGGGTAGATGCACAGGTCTGGGTGTTAGTCTTGCTGAGAATCCAGGCTCTGCCACTCACTCAGTGACTAGAGAGAGGTTCAATAACCTCACTCATCCTTCTCTGTAAAGTAGCCATTATTCTAGTGCTTCCCTCTCAGGGTTGTTCGGGGATTTATTGAGATATTTTATGTGAAATGCCCATCAAAGAGCTTGGCACTAACTATGCATTTATTTAATTAATAAGAGATGCCACTATAATTTGGAGACAGTGAGTGAGATGGCTCCCTGCTAATGAAGACAACCCAAAAGAGAGCTGGGCTCTAGAGGCAGGGCAAAGCAAAGGCGTTGAGGAAGAAGGAATCGGGACGGTAGGGCAGTGTGTGGCGTAATTCAAACTATAAATGTTCATAAACACGGAGATTCACCCACACTAACAATCAAAGAGTGTCAGGGAGGTTGTTGGGCATGGCTATGTGAATTGGGAATGGTACCAATTTCAGCTTCTCTCTCTGTGAGAGGGAACAGCAGCTCTGGCGAAGTTGGTGGCCTTCGGTAACACACACCAGGTGAGAATGGCTTTCCATGGTGCAGGCTCCTCTTAATTTTCCTGACATGCTCAGGTGACTTGGCAGCTAAATGTCAAGTTTCAGGCCAGAGCAGAAGAGTGTTTACTTAAAAACAAGACCAGGGTAAGGCACCAGATTCTGGCTACTCCAGCAGCTTAGGATGTTCAACATCTGCAACATGAAGGTTGCAATAGCTGAGGAATCAGTGAGCCGCAGATGTTCACATTACTGTGTGTAAAAAGGCACAAGAAAGAAAGTAGCCCTCTACCAAGTTCACTGTTTCCACTAAACTATTTCTAAGATTTTGAAAGCAGGAGGCTTCTCCTAAAAATAGCATTAAAGTAGACAAGTAAGAAAACCCCAAGTCCAGAGAAAATAATATTTTGTCATTGAACTGATTGAATTTCTAAACCTCACAATTGTCTTTGGCAGATGAAACAGAGCTCTGTGAACTTTCTTTATCTCAGGAATTCTTTTCCCTTTGCAGCAAGAAGCCAAAACCACATCAAAGCACACCTCCCCAACAGAAGCCTCTGACCTTCGCCTACGATGGAGACTTAGACATGTAACCTGGAAAGGAAATCCAAATGTAGACATCGACTGCCTTAACTGCTTTCTCTTTTGTAGCTCTCAGACTTCTCAGTTTTTTGAGGAATCTCACAGTGTGATATATTAGGCAGAATACAAATACTGCGAAAGTAATATTGCCTCAACTTCATTTGGATATGGAGTCAAGGATTATTCAGTCTGCCATTTTGATTTCAAGTTGTTTGTGGGTGTGTTTAATTTTTTTTATTTTCTCAAGGGACCTGAAAATCCTTCTCTTCCCTTTTGGAAAAGGGAGGAAGAAATCGTGATGGAATTCCCACAGACTTGAGTAATCTTTATCTTCTGCAGCATGATGACAATCCAGAGGAAAGTCCAATCAAGACATTTACTATAAATGGCGAGTTTGACACTGCATTGTTACGCACTATATTAGTGCAAATCTTTATTCTTTCCATATTTCAACACTGAGTTTTCTAGAGTTTACATTAGTTCAGAGACCTTCAAATTGCATTGACTATTTTCATGAACACAGAGGGAATGGGCTGCCATTTCAGAAATTCTCTGAGTTTTTACCTTTGAATATTGTATTTTGTTTTGTAGCCAGGGGATGATGGCACTTCACGGGTTGCATCTATTGAAAGAAATGGAGAGTGCATAATTGACGAACTAGATGAAAGCTGGGTGGTTTCTAAATGAAATGTGTATTGAGTGTGATGGTGTACAAATGAACTAGGTGGTCATATTGGAGAATGAGGTAGATTATTTGATTACTAAAACTGCATTTTAACAAAACTTAGCAACGTAGATATAGAATTGATCACACAGTTGTAATTCAGTTTAATGATGACAAACTCTGCTTTTGTAATTTCAATTTTCTTATCTGAATATTTATAAATTTTTTTTGAAGTTAATTATCTGACCTCATTTAATATACATCAACCACCGATCCTGTTTATAGCAAGTCTTGCTTTTATAAGGTTTCAATAATATCTAAAACACATTAAAAGCTGAAACCATTTTATGAAGATAATTGTTTGTAATAGTAGATGTTGAAAGTAAGAAGGTGCCATCTTGTGGTATTGACTTGTATTTATAACAAATAAAGTGCTCAAGAGACTGAGAAGTTGACTCTTCTAGATTTATTCATTTCTAAAGTGCCCTTATTTTGAAAAACACACTTTTAATAACACTTTCCCTGTTTCATTGTTTTAGAGGTTGAAAGCTGAAATCACAGAGAAAAGGAATTTTACCCCACATTCTCAGCTCTATCTAGAAAACTGCAAAATTGAGTAAAACACAATTACACAGAAGTAGCTTTTAAGATATATTTAAAGCTCAGTCAATATTAGAACAAACAACTATAATAAGGCAAATGCTGACATGTACGTGACCTGAGAGACCTCAGAAAATGGGAATGTTAGAGAAGTGATACAATGAGCAAGATAGAGAATGTTTGCAATAAGGCTTCTGTTAACCATGTAACACTTCAGTGCTTCCAACAAAAGAGTCCTTACAAAGATGCCATCTTCTGTCAATAGTGTGGTTGAGGAAACAACTCCTAGAGTTGCCCTTTTATTAGTTCACTTTAGCTAAACTTTCAGTACTGTTTGTAGTAGTTCAAGAGATCCTGCTTTGGAAATCAAAACCTGACTGTTCCCTTCATCACCTGTGTGATATTTACCCCACAAAAATTGCAAACTCTGTTCCTATTGTTTGACCCAAAAAATAAAGATAATATTTTTTTTTCTCTTAAGATAAATGTAAAATGGAATTCCAGTTAAAGATAGCAAAGTAGGAGGATCTGAATTAACCTCCTCCCACAGACACACTATCAGTATATCTGGAACAATTCCCTCTGAAAGAAGTTAGAAAACTAACTGAGCAACTCTTACACATCAGGAGAATGAAGAAAGCTACACATAGACATTGATAAAAAAGGCTGAGACAAAAATCTCGCCATAAACCCCACTCTCGGCATGGCAATCCATAATTCAAAGGGAACTCACAGCCCCCCAATATTCTCTGAGGAGCAAAGGGTTTGAACCCAGTATCTGGCAACCCAAGTTTTAAGACCTGTACCTGAAAGATGACGCCAAAACACCTAGCTTTGCAAACCAAAGGGGTTGGTACCCAAAGACTCTCTAAGTTGTAGCAAACTGAGAAAGTGATTAAAGGGCACAAATGGACTGACCATAGCTACCCCTGCATCCAGGGCAGAGCTCAGAAGCAGCAGACAGAAACACCCAGTTTTTCTATGGAAGAGCCATAGCCTGAAGGGCAGACTTCTAATTAAACACACACCTGGATGCCTGACTGCAATGCTCATCAGAGACCAGGGAGCCTGGCGGGTACCATCTTTGGCTCTCCCTGTGCCCAACCCAGACACCAGTATCCCCAAGAAAGGAGGTTGGGCACACATCTGGCAACCTGGCTGACATTCTTTGATAACTTAGCTCTGGTGAACAGAGGGACTTGTGTTCATGTGTTTAGTGGAATAGTAGCAAACGAACAGTTAACGGGTTATCACCCTGCGCCTCAATGCAGAGGGAACACACAGAAATGCCTACCTCCTAGTATTTCCATGAAATAGTCCTAATTGGATACTTTAAAGGCTACTGCTTGAGAATCTGATGTCCACTCAGCCTAAATCTAGATTATGATTTAGGACATGACAGATCTTGACACACTCTCAGCTACTGGGAACCACCAAGTACAGAGTAGACTGCTCTCTTCTTAAGAAAATCACAAAGGTACATGCAGACAAACAAGAGCTAGGGTAGTGCTGAAAAAAAAAAAAAGTTCATCACCTACAAAAGTCACTCATTTAAGACTGGGAGAGCCTAGCGGTTTGGCTCAGTAAACTGAAGGGTCCTGAGTTCAATTCCGGTTAAGGGCATGGAATTGGACTTAGTTGCAGGCTCAATACCCGGCTTTGGTTGGGGTATGTGCGGGAGGCAACCAATGGATGTATGTCTCTCACATCAATGTTTCTCTCTCTCTCTGCCTCTTCCCTTCCCTTCCACTCTCTAAAAGAAAAAGTCAATAGAAAAAAAAATATTCTCAGGTGAAGATTAACTAAAAAAAAATACTGGAAGAGGTAGCTGTTTTATCTACTACATAGATCAGTGATGGTGAACCTATGACACACGTGTCAGAGGTGACATGTGAACTCATTTTTTTGGTTGATTTGGTTGCAAATCAAAAAATTTCTATATGTGACAGGGCACCAGAGTTAAGTTAGGGTTTTTCAAAATGCTGACACGCCGAGCTCAAAAGGCTCGCCATCACTGACATAGATACTAACACAGAGAATCACAAAAAATAAAGAAATGTGTTTCAAATGAAATATATATATATATAAACACCTTAATGAAACATAGATAAGTGATTTACCTAATAAAGAGTTCAAAATGATGGTCATAAAGATGTTTACTAAGTCCAGGAGAACAATGTATGAACAAAGTGAGAATGTCAACAGAAAGAAAATTTATGAAAGCACCAAACAGAATCATAGAACTGAAGAATACAATAGAAGGGTTCATTAGAAGACTAGATAAAATAGAAAAAAGAATCAGCAAACTTGAAGACAAGGTAGAGAAATTCATCCAATCAGAGCAACATAAAGAAAAACAAATGAAACATAAAGATAGTTTGAGGAACTTATGGGAAAACATCAATTGGACCAATATTTGCATTTAGGGTCCTAGAAGGAGAAGAGAAAAAGAATGGGAAGAAATAATGGCTAAAATCTTTCCTAACCAGGGGAAGGAAACACTCATGCAGATCTAAGAAATGCAGTGTTCCAAATTAGAGGAACCCAAAGAGACACAACCCAAAACACATAATTAAGTTGTCAAAAGTTAAAGACAGAGAGAATCTTAAAAGCAGCAAGGGAAAAACAACTGGCTATATACAAGGGAACTCCAATAAACTGTGATTTCTCAGCAGACACTTTTGGGACAAAAGGGAAAAGCAGGATATATTCAAAGTTCTGAAAACAACAAACCAGCCAAACAGTAATATTCTACCTGGCAAATTTGCCCTTCAGAATTGAAGGAGAGCTACAGAGTTTTCCAGATAAGCAAAAGCTGAAGAATTTCATCACCACTAGACGGCTTTAAAGAAATGTCACAGTGACTTCTTTAAGCTGAAACAAAGGGGTACTAAATAGTAAAAGTGAAATATGTGAAAATAGAAAATATACATCTCACTAGTAAAGGTAAATATATCGTAAAATTCAAAATAATCTAAAGCTGTAAAGGTGGTGAGTTAATCACTTACAAAACTAGTTAAAAGATAAAGACATAAGTAGTAAAAACAATGATAAAAACAAAGATTTTAGAATGGATACAGAAAATAAAAAAGTAAATTGTGATATCAAAATCATAAAACAGGAGGTGGGAAGGTGGGAGTAAAAATATGAGTTTTAGAATGCATTCAAATTGGAGTTGTGATTATCAACTTAAAATGACAGTGATAAATATAATATGTTTTATGTAGTGTCATGGTACCCACAAAGCAAAACTCCATAGTAGATATACAAAACGTGAAGAGAAAGGAATCTAAGCATACCATTTAGAAAATTATCAAATCACAAAGGAAGAAAGTAAGAGAACAAAGGAACAGAGAACTACCAAACAGCTAGAGAACAACAAAATGCTGACAAGACCATTCCTATCAATAATTATTTTAAATGTAAATGGACTAAACTTAATAAAAAAAAATAGATTGGCTGAGTGGATTTTTAAAAGCAACACCCAAATATATGCTGCCTATAATAGATTCACTTCATATATAAGGCCTCACAGAGACTGAATGTAAGGAGCTGGAAAAAAAGATGTTTTATGCAAATGGGAACTTAAAAAAAGCTCTGTAGCTATACTTATATTACATAAACTAGATATTAAAACAGAGACTATAATAAAAGACAAACAAGGTTTTTATATAATGCTAAGGAATTATCCAATAAGAGGATTAACATTTGCAAATATTTATGCACCCAATGTAGGAGCACCTACATATATAAATTAATTATTATTGGACCTAAAAATATAGACAGAATTAAATAAACTGTAGGGGACTTTTATACTCTACTTACATCAATGGATAGATTATTCAGGCAGAAAATCAATAAGGAAACTTTGGTCTTAAATTATATGTTTGACCAAATGAACTTAATAGACATTTACAGAATCTGCCGTCCAAAAGCAGCAGAATATGCATTCTTCCAACATCGTACATTCTCCAGGATAAATCACATGTTAGGCCACACACCCAGGAAGCCTCAATAAATTCAAGAAGGTTTAATCATAACAACCATCCATTTGAATCACAAGGGTATAAAAACAGAAATCAATTACAAGAAAAAAAAAACTGGGAAAAACAAACACAGGAAAACTAAAAAAACATGCTACAAAACAACCAATGGGTCAAAAACAAAATTTCTATGTAGTTATTTATAAACTGTATTTATTTATAAATAATTTGTATATGATGCTTTATATAATTTATAGAAATTTATTTTATATATATAATAGACAAATGAAAATGGAAACACAGCTTTCCAAAATTTAGGGGATGCTGCAAAAGCATTTTCAAGATGTAGTTCACAGTGATAGCGGCCTACCTCAGGAAACAAGAAAAATCCCAAATAATCTAACTTTGCAACTTAGTGAATTATAAAAATAAGAACAAAATCCAAAATTATTAGAAAGAAGTAAATAATAAAGATCAAAGTAGAAATAAATTAGAAACTAAAATAACAATAGAAAGGATCAATGAAACTAAGAGCTCATTCTTTGGAAAGAAACAAACTTGGTAAACCTTTAGCAAAACTCATCAAGAAAAAAAGAGAAATAACCCAAGTAAATAATCATAAATAAGAGAAGTTACAACTGACACCATAGAAAAACAAAGGGTCATTAAAAAAAAAATACTACTAGCAAATATGTACTGACAAAGTGATCAAACTGAAAGAAATGGATAAATTTCTAGAAACATAAACCTTCCAAACTGAACCTGGAAGAAACAAATTCTGTGCAGGCTAATTATTAATTAGGTCTCCTGGAAGGTCTCCCAGCCTAATTAGCATATTACCCTTTTATTAGTATAGAGG